AAAAGACAGTTTCTTTGTGTAATAGCTCTGGCTGTCTTAGAAATTGATTTGTAGACCAGGCTGGCCTTGAACTCACAGAGATCATCTGCTTTTGCCTCCTGAGTGATGGAACTAGAGGCATGCGCCACGACTGCCCAGCTCACACCACTGTAGTTTTAACAAGTTAATCATTCTTTCAGACACAGCTTCTTTCCAGGAATTCTCATTCACAAACCCATGGGTAAAACTTACACACAAGAAAAATTCACCTTATTTCATCTCTTAAAAAAATCAGTTGTGAATATTTTCACATCCAACTGGTAGACTATAAATTAACTAGAGGATGTGTGGTAATTTGTATCAGGGTTCCTTAAATGTGTATCCCCTTTAATCACATGACTTCATGCATAAAATGTCTTTGTAACTATGTTCTAGAGTACATCCTATATAGATTTTATTCTAAGAGCAAAATAGTATAAACTTAAATGTCAACATAGAAGGGTTACCTAATTAGCATAATTAATTTATGCTATATAGAAGTGATTAATAATTATATATGGCTTTAAAAGCCATGTAGATCACTATTTATAAAATGAAAAAATGCTTATTATTTATTAGAAAGGAATTTGACTCATGGTGTAAATTAGTGTGATGGTATACAGCTATAATCCCAGCACTGAAGAGACTGAGGCAAGAGAACTGTGAGTTTGAGGCTAGTCTGGGCTGCTTAGTAAGTATGATACAACAACTGTCTCAAAACAAAATGAAATAAAAAACAAAGCCTGACTGTGTAGCTCAGTGATAGGGTATTTACTGAGCATGTTCAGTGTTAGATTTGATAACCCAGCAACATGAAAATGTTAGCAGTAAGATCACTATGTATGAAACGACACCAGCATCACCAGTAAACATTGTCTATGAATAAAAAGGGAATGGAGTTAATGCCAGAAGTTCCACAGAGGAAATGTGAGTGCTTCAAAGGTATCGTAAGACACACTTAGCTATAATAGGCATAATTCAAAAGCAAGAATTTATTTTTCAGCAATAGCTTAAAAGAAAATTTCTAGCAGTCTATTCCAAAACTAGAATACAAACAGAGGAACATCAATCACCTCTTTTAAGCAGTGGTTTTGCTAAGAACACTGGTTTTACAATCTCTGCAGATGTTTTATCTTCTCAGTCTTCAAATATCGAATATTGACATGTTTTGCAGCATCTTTCATGCTATGTTGGTTCTTTTCTTTGCCGTGAGAATCCGTTTTCACCAAGCAGTTTCCTCTTTTCACTTTGGTCAAGAGGAGGGGCAGAAATTCATGAGCTGGAGTATCGCTCAAGAGGTGACTCAGTTCTGCCTTTTCCCTTGGAGCATCAGAGAAGATACAGGCCAGGGAAGGTCAACTTGTCCCTCACTTGGGGGATCAATTCTCTGCACCAGAATCAATTCCTGGTAGAGACACAGGTAATAACTGCTTTTATTATTTTTCTATCACATGATCAGAGGTTCTCTGGAGAATTTCAGATGGTGTGATAAGAGAGCGGGAATGCTTGGGAAGCCCGTTGTCTGTTAGATTTGGTTGACTCTGGCAGCATGTGAAAACTGGAGTTTGACAATGTTTATTTTCTTTCTGGGTGTGCTGTGTCTTCTACTGTGTGCTAAGGGAGTAAGGTAGAGGTTCTATGGTGTTCGTTACTCTTTAACGGGTCAAATGTTAATATACAATTCATCCCTAAGAACTCACAATGGGAGCCAAGTAAGATGGCTCAGTGTGTAAAGATACTTGCTAAACAAGCCTGATTGACCACCTGCGTTTTATTCCTGAAACCTACATATGGAATGTAGGGTGGAATGAGAGGGCTTACTAGGAACAGTTGTCCTCTGGACACATGTGCACCCTGGTACCGACACTACCCAAAGATCAGTAATAATGAATAACAATTTAAAAGATGAATTCTCTAATGAAAAGTTTCCATTTTTTTGAGAGAAATTAGGGAAAATGTGAATAACTCCAGAAATCTTCAAAAAAAATTAAAAACTAGACAAGAATCGATTCATGTTTGTTATCCACATTGTCTGTTTGCTAACATCTCAGTTATTATCAAACACTTTAGAAGTCCAGCTTCTAAAATTTTCACTCAGGATTCAAAAAAGTACTTACAGATCAGTGAAGGAACTAAAATCTGAGGGAAAAAGGAATTGACTCACACACAATTGCTCCTCTGATGCTCTTTTCTTCTTCTTTTTTTCTGTCCTTGCTGTTCTCTGTTTTTCTTTTTCTCGGGTTCTCTTTCTGTTTCTTTGTTGGAGGTACAGACACGTATGTTTGCAACAGTAATTATTTTTTGCAATACAATGTGAGGCTTGAGTTTCTCAGGGTCAGCAAGGCAGATAAGATTTACCCACAGAGCAGCAAACTAAAACTGCTAGGAGAAACTTCTTTTTCCTTTTTTTTCCTCCCTTTTTAAAAAATTTAAATTAGAAACAAGCTTGTTTGACATGTCAATCCCAGTTCCCTCTCCCTCCCCTCCTCCCCTGCCCCCACACCAACCCCCTATCCCATCCCCTTTCTACTCCCTAGGGAGAGTGAGGCCTTCCATGGGGGAAACTTAGAGTCTCTCATATCATTTGGAGCAGGGCCTAGGCCCTCCCCAGTGTGTCTAGGCTGAGAGAGTATTCCTTTATGTGGAATGGGCTCCTAAAGTCCATTTGTGTACTAGGGATAAATAGTGATCCACTGCCGGAGGCCCCACAGATTGCCCAGGCCTCCTCATTGACACCCATGATCAAGGGAGTCTGGGTTGGTCCTATGCTGGTCTCCCAGCTATCAGTCTGGGAGCCATGAGCTCCCCCTTGTTCAGGTCAGCCGTTTCTGTGGGTTTCTCCATCCTGTTCTTGACCCCTTTGCTCATCACTCCTCCCTTTCTGCAACTGGATTCCAGAGTTCAGCTCAGTGTTTAGCTGTAGGTGTCTGCTTCCATCAGCTATTGGATAAAGGCTCTAGGATGGCAGAACTTTTAGTATCAGTTACTTAGGACTGTAGGTCAAAGAGGGGGGGGGTCTAAGTTTAATTTGCACAAGAAACAAGATCTGGTGCCTTCCAGTGCTCTGACCTTAGTGGTGGCACAGGCCTCCAGAAAACTTACTTTTCCCTGAGGATGAGCTAATGGCTGATTACCTTTGTCTTTATCTTCTCAGGGGAAACAGGAGGGAGCAGTAAATCTCTGAACTAAAAATCTTGGGTTACTAAAACAAGAAGTTTGAGAATCTTTTAGTACAGGGTTAGTTTAGGTTATCGCTTCTCTGTCTGCCGGTGAGGTAAAGCCAAGAGCATGCTTATTTTTCTATCCATCTAGGCAACTATTAATAAACAACTTTGGGTGTGTAGTAATTCTGTGTCATTGGATGTCTGGGAATATCTTAGATGGGATGCTTTTGCCTGGTCCCTAAACACTGACCAAATGTCTGTCAATAAAAGTCATTGCAGAAAGGCAGATCTCTGCCGTTGCAATGGAAAGGGGAACAAGGACCTTATAGTTGGGAAACAGGCCTCACATATAGCTAAGGAATGTAATCAGTAAACTAGGACCTGTTAATGGAGAACAGGTATTTACACATAGCTAGGGAGTATAATCAGTAAAACTTCAAATGCATGGGAGAAATTTGTTCCCAGTAAGTGATCAGATGGTGCTGAACTGTGGGAAGTAAATCCCAAGTTTGTTACAGAAGGGAATAAGCTACAGGAAGAATCCACACCAAGAAATAGCCAATTCTTTCAAGAGATAATACCGCCAGGTACAACTTTTGTACTGGTTTCATCCATGAGGACAATCCTTAATTCTTCTGATTTATCTCATGATAGATGGCTGTATAATTACTGTGTAATCTTGAGGCTTGTAGCAAGTTATCAATGTAAGGGGCAAGGTTAGTTACAAATATTTACTATTGAATAATACACACACACACACACACACACACACACACACACACACACACAATCAGATTGGATCCTTTATGGGAACTAACCAATGACTGATTAGTGACAAAATTAATTTTTGTATAGGCTCCTCTGGTAATATCATACACTAGAAAATAATATGTGAAATGATCATGTACATAGAATAATTTGGGATTAAATTTCAGGTTGTATCCTGTAATACTCCTCTCTATTGTCCCCATACCTCACCCCTGCAATACCCCTTTCTACTCTCCTGGTTGCTGCAGTTACTCCAGGTTCTGTAGCATGTCTGAAGACTTGGAGACAGGAGCCTCTAATGAGAGAAAACATGTTTTTTTTTTTTTTTTTTTGTCTTTCTGGGTTTGGGTTACCCTACACTGTAGGATCTTTTCAAGTTGCATACATTTACCAGTCATGGCTATGGAGACGAATGTGTAGGCTGTGACTGGTTGGAGAGGTTGGAAATCTCAAGTGTTTGGGCTCAACCCTAGAAATATTTACATATTTTGGAGCCCAAAATTTTAATTATCTCATATTAATATTCAAATACTCCTTTTGAAATAGTGTATGGGAAACCTGGATAGACATATATGATGCAAAAGACTGCAAGAACATTTAATATTCATGTGTTTATCAAAATGTGTAAATAATTTTAAAGCAAAGACTTTTATTTATTCAGAAATCTTTGAACTTTTGTTATTTGAATTGACAGTTTAAAAGTGTTTCAATGATTTGTGGTGGTAACAATTTTGCCTCATAATTTTATATATTGGTAATATTTTGAATAAACAGGATGTTTCAATATTGCAATGCCTTACTAGTATATTTTGATTCTATCTGTATTTCCTCATAGTAATTGCTATGGCTGATAGAGGTATACATGACTTTAACAGAAATCTTCAAAGACTTCTCACTTCTAGTGGAAATCAGGGTCAGTCCATGCGATTTAGGATGTTTGGATCATTAAGGGAGTTAATTTATCAGACTTCACCCTTCCCACCCCACTGCAGCATCTGATCCAGGTACCTTCCTAAAGGTGGACATTTTAACTTTTTCTTTAGAAATCACTCAACCTCGGGCTTTTACAGACCGTACTTCACTTACTCCCAAGATGAGTGATGAAGAGACTACTTACACAACTGTGAGATTTCACAAGTCTTCTTCAGGGTTACAGAACAGAGGAAGGCCTGATGAGACTCAAGTGCCCAGAGAAGCTAGCCACAGAGGTAAGTGTTTCAAGTGTATAAATTTACCAGTTTTTATGAATTGTAGCTCTTGACGTTTGAAAACAATATCCTACTTGCTTCTATTAAAAATAGTAATCCTATTGCTAGTTGTTAGCTGGTCACAAAAGAAAGACTGATGGGCAGAGTAGAATGATGGGATCCTGTAAGAAAAAATGTTTTTGAGAACGGAGAAGCAAGATGTGAATACGTTCTGTCAAATTTGAGAAACCATTAGGTTTTCTTTTTAGTCTAGTAAAGAATTCCGAAACCCTTAAAAGTAACATACTAGAGCCTGAAGAATCACCAAACATTCTAGAGAAATAAAATCTTACGGAAATGCAAAGTATGCTTTAGAAACAATACTTTTGCTCTAGCAGAGGCTGGTTTCACTGTCTTACATATTTCCCAACATCTAAGGCAGTGAAGCAGCAAAGAATCATCCATCAGAAGAGGGATCTGTCCTTTAAAGAAGGATGAGGAGGGATGACAGAGGGCAGTGCAGGTGGGGATGAAGAAACCACACTGTGCATTTGCCAAAAATATCAAAGAATAGTAATTAAAAACCTCTATTCTCACACTAATTGTATCATATGTAATACAATGAGTTTCTATGATAGGCATTATTAATCATTAGACTATTAAATACAATACACTGCATAGATAATGTAGCAAAAATACACTGTAAAATTTGTGGACACACAAAATACTTATTCCATTGTGCCAGAGACAATCATTATATTTACCTTATTGCTTATTTGTTAATATGTGTATGTATATAGATATAGATAGATAATACAAATATAGGTATTGGTGTTATGATTTATATTTTTATAGACTTTGATGTTTCTTTTTAATTTTGTGCAGTTGGACAAGGGAACACATACAACAGTGTGATGTGGATGTCAGAGAACAGCTTTTAGCAGCTGGCTCTTGTTCCTACCACATGGGTTCCAGGGATCAAACCCTGATGGTTGTGATTGACAGGAAGTGCCCTTTCCTGCTGAGCCATCTCACTAGGCCTGCCTCCCATATCATTATGAAAAAAAAATCTCTATTCTCTTATCACCCTCACTCTGCACACGCTCCAAGCTGAGAACTTTAACTTCTTTGACTAGGTTGTAATTGGAGGCCAGACTTTCAGATTTCCAACACCTTGGGTACACACAGATGCTTAGTATAGAACTTATGGAAAAAAAGAGAGAGATGACTTCTAGGTCCCTTTAAGGATTGACCGCATACGCGTCAGCTCCAGAACTGCCATGGCTCCTTACCTACCAGTTCTCAAGAGCATCCACCCCTCTTTCCTTCCTCTTCATCTTCAGTTATTCTCTCTTGGTGGACTGCATGCTCCAGTTTGGAGTCTCCTACTTGGGCCGTGTCTGTGTCGCTAGCGATTTCTGAACAAGGCACTTTTGATCCTGTAGAACTGGGTGAGGGCCTCATACCTGTCATCCAGCTACTTCTACGCTGAGTTTGGAGGACTGAGAATACAAGGCCAAAGGGGGGAAAAAAGGTTGAAATCCTGTGAAATTTCACACATGTAGGATTTCTACAGTGGGTTCATTTTAGGTAAAAACCTATAATTTTGAAACCACATTTTCATTCAGTTTGTATGATAGACTTCTGTAAAAATTTAAAGTCCAATATATCTTGTTTCCATGCTATGCAGAATTTTAATTAGTAGTAGAATGTGATCTTTTCATGGTGATGATTTTCTTGCTTTGTTTTGTCTAATTAAAGAGTGTTCAGTCCCCTGGAATCCCATTGCTTTATGTCTTGGAATCCTTTGTTCCATTCTGCTGGTGGCCATTGCAGTGTTGGTGACACTCAGTGAGTAACTGATATACATCTTCTTTGCCTTTCTAAGTAATGACTTCAGATGCTATTGCAAGAAATATACTGTGTCTATTGGTCTGCTTATAATCAGGGGATTTGACAGCTAGCTCTGAATTCTTTTTGCTTTCTTCCTGACACTACAGAGTCCTGTTCTCTTATCTACCTAATCTATTAAACCTGGGACTTGGGTCCTGTTTATTCTGCCTCACTCATGGCCATGTTCCTTCTTGGACCCTGGTGTTAGTCTTCTTTCTGAGCACAGGTGGTTGTGAATCTTAGGTAAACATTCTGTGAGAAAGAGCTGTACAAAAGAAATGACTTCTTTTCAGTTTTTTCTTCAGTGTATATTGAGGGCATGGTTGTGTAAAAAGACTATATGTGTACAGAGATATTAAAGCTTCAGCCTTACTGGATTCCTTCACATCTTTAGAGGATCCCAAGCTGTGCTAAAACATAACTACATGTCTGGATATCATGCTTTCCATCAGGTACAATGCGAATTGTACCATATTTTTCATGCTTCTTAGTGTAGATTTCCAGGGTATGTTAAGTGTTTGCTGAATATTTTATTTAGGTATTTATTTGTAAGTATTTGTCTTTGAAAAAATGAAGTAATTGGAAGATATGTTACTTCCACCATAATTTTATTCAGCTGTATCATATACTTCACACTGAATTTGTTGACAGAAATTCCTGTTTCCATTTTTATAGTGAGTTAATTGAAGTGTTTCTTTCTAAATGTCAAAATAGCAATTAAAGTAATGATATGTGTTGAATGTCAACATGGGCTTTCTCTTTTATCTTAAATTTCAATATTTTTAACTTATGAGCATTTTTGGTGTTATATATCTGCTTTTACTTTTAGTTTTTCAGTACAGACAAGAAAAACATGATCAGGAGAAAATGCTAAAAATCATCCAACAAAAGTACCACATCATGAAAAATGAAAGTTACTTAAAAGAACAAATTTTTAAAAATAAGTCTACAGAGTGTGATGACCTCAAAGATCGTCTGAATTCTGTCAACAGTGAATGGAAGAGATGCTATGGGGAAACTAAGATTGTTTTAGATTGCATACATCACACAGGTATGGAGGAGATCTTGAATAAAGAATTGCATTAATCTGTATTGTTTCTTCTCACTAAACTTTGAAGTCCAATTAGCAGGTTATGATGGAGTTCCCTTAATGTAGGCACCTGAAACCCCAGAAATTCCTGTCTGATTCAGGAAAATCTTACAGTTTCTAGAATTTCAGTGGCCATTCTGGCTCCTAATGCCCCTAGGGGATGGAAAATCAAGTCAGCACCCATGAGAATACAGGTTGTTTTGGTACATGAGAAAATCCAAGTGTCCAAATTTGTTGCTAACAGAAAATAGAAATATCCAGTAAGAAGGTATTTATCAAATATTTAAGATAAATGCTCAGGATTTACATACAATCATAAAAGTGTGTGTGTGTTTTCCTTCTCCCTTGGTTTCACACAGAAGGCCTGTTTGTAATGCAGGTATCCTTCCTGTGGTGCACTTGGGGAGAGCTTCCCCATGGTGCCTACACTCATTAATCTCAATTAGTGACACTGTTAATGATGCAGCAAAGATGAAATATCAAGTGTTACAAGGAACCTTTCTTACTTTGTACCATGACTAATTAGCACAGCTTGTCAATATTTATTAACTATTTGCTCACAATTTATGGGTTACAAAGAGATTATATATGATCTCACTGTGTTGTGATAGTAGGAGTTGACAGTCTTCATTCAGCAAGGACTAATATTATCTTTAAAACTGGTAGATTACAAAGTATATAACAGGAAAAGAAGAAGAAAAATCTCCAAAAATAATTTTTGAAGCATTCCAGACTCATTAATTATGTTTTCTGTTACTATTTTAGAATAAAATAATTGCCATTATTCAATGTTAGCATAATGTTGTAATGCTTGGGCTTAGGAGTCTGAGGCAGGAGGATTGTAAATCAGAGGAGAGTCTAGGCAGCCCAGCAAATTACAGGTCTGCCTGAGCTACACTGTGATGTCTTCATAGAAAAACAAAGGTTGGAGATAAAGTTCATTGATAGATCATAGCCATCCCCAACACCTCACCAAACGAAGTAATTATTACTGAGATGTTGCTACAGAAAGTGCATGCATTTTAATGTTCTCAGCCTGACACATGTGGGCATGTGGGCATACCCTTGGAGGCGTTACCACAATCAAAAGAACAAATCATTCCATTCAAGAATGTCTTCATGTGTTTCCTAACTGTGGGCCACTGTGGGTTCTGTGTATTATTCCAGACCTAGAATTCTGTCATCTGTTTAACTGCCTCTGAGCAGGAAGTGCTCATTTTCCTTCCCTCCAGCTCCTGGTATTTTACAAGCCCCTGATTCATAGAACTGGGCTGTGGTAGAAACATCTTTTGAGTGGAATCATAAAGTATGGTCCTGGGCCTGGCTTGTTTCACTTTGAACACTATCCTCCAATTCACCCATGCTTCTCTGAGGGACTCCCTTGCATACTTCTAACAAAGGCAGGAGATTGAAAAGACCCTGCTGTCTCTTTAGTAATGTGTCTCATACCCGATGTTGTGGTCCTGACACTAAATGAGCAGCAGGCAGGAGTAGCCTGGGTGACTCTTACTGCACAGTTGGTCACATTGGTCAGGATCTTCCTTTTGGGTGTTTGGATGTGAGACGTGGTTTCATTCTGTAGCCTAGGCTGACTAGAAACTCACTGTAACCCAGGATGTACTGGATTTCATTACTCAGGCACGGATGGCCTCACACTGGTGGTGATCCTCCTGACTCAATCTGTGTAGTGCTGGAGTTACAACCATAAAACATGCCAGGCAAGATTTATTTCCCTTTAAAGGCTAAATAGCTTCCCATTTTGTGTATGTGCTACATTTTCTCTACTTTTCACCAAGAAAGAACACTAAAGTTGTTTTCATTATCTCTATTGTGATAAATAATGCTGCATAGAGCATGGGTGTGCAGGGGTCTTTCAGCATTCTAGAAATTCAATTTCTGAGAGCTGTGAGATTTTACTTCATTATATAGGCTTAATAAATCATTGTTCTGATAACAAGTACCAGAAAATATGAATTTTAACCATTCCCTTCTCTGTTGTAGGCAAATGTGTTGAAGGACACTGGTTCTGCTGTGGCATAAAATGTTATTATTTCCTCATGGACAATAAAAGCTGGAATAGATGCAAACAGACCTGTGAGGACTGCAGCTTATCCCTTCTGAAGACAGATGATGATGATGAACTGGTACCGTAGACTCTTACATATTTCCTTATTCTTAGATTCCTTCTCTAACAATTGGATAATGAGATTTGAGCCTAGTTGGGTTTTTCAAAAAAGAAAGTCCTTTAGGGGTTGGTTGTAGGTGGTTTTCTTGTAATGCGAGTAAGAACCATGCACCAAGAGTTTCCCAGTCCATTCCTTTCTGCTCTCCATTTGGTGTCAGGACACAGGGTCTGTTATGAGGACACTATTACTAAAGAGACAGTTGTCTTTTAAATCTCCCCACTTTCTTAGGAGTTTGCAAGAGAGTCACTCACAGAGGCATGCCTTCCCCTGATGAAGTTTAACCATTTGGTGCAGCAATACTACAAGTGACAGTTACTTATCTCCATAGAATGCCACCTGAATCCCCAGAAGCAGCTGTCCAGGACTTGGTCTTTGGAACCCAGAAAGGAAGCTGCTTGAGATAAGTAACTAGGTGACAACAGGGAAAGTAATTGACCTCTAGTCCAATCTGCAAAATGGACATGATGAGAGAACTGTGCAACTATACAGTTATACCAGTTAACCCATGGGATTTTCACCAAATCTGTTCACAATATTTACTTCAGAATATTCTTTGTATCATAAAAGATGTGTGTGTTTGGAAACAAGTATTTAAAAGAAAAAAAAGTGGCCAAATATTGCCATTGTCTGATTATATTTATTACTAAAGAAATGTCTATATACGTAGATTATATTTTTCTAGAGAAATGCTTGCAGGATCAGTTTGAAACTTTGTTATTTAGAATATGGTGAAAATTGGCACGGCAATTTAACATGTTTAAAAAATTACAGCACAAAATAATTATTAATGTTGATACAGTAAATATAGTTAAATTTAAGCCTATATTCTAAAACGTATTCTGATATTTAATGAGATATCATGCCACTTGGATGTTGCATGTTGGATACATGAAATGTTTTCTAAAATCATCCCCTTCATGAAGTTCTGTCATTTTTGGATCTGAACTACAGCATGGCTTCCTCTCTGGAGAAGGGAGCTTAGATTCACAGATTTTCACATAGGACTTTTCATCTTAATGAATTTGCTTTGAAGACAGGGGACCACTTATGATGAACACTGCCCACATGCTTCTGTAGTGTTTTGGAAAAATTAGTTGAATAATTTTATAAAATGTCAGAAAGTATTTAATGAGCTAATATGTAGTGCATACTTGGAGACCTGATGCAGGAAGACTGTGAGTTAAAGATTAGCCTCGACTACACACGGAGGTTTTGTGTAAGAAATACAGTCACAGATCATTTAATGAATGGAGTATCACTGGACACTTGAAGTTTTCATGTTAAATAACTGATGAAACTGACATTGGTTTTGACCTAAATGAGCTACTAGTGAGAAACCACTTTAGAAAATGAACACGGAGGAGCAGGACAGGACAGCAGCGAATTGACGTGGGAATAGCTGGGAATTATTCTGGTCATTTTTTCTTACCAAACAGAACTATTAAACAATGTTGTTCCCTTTACAGACTGTCCTTAAGTCCCAACTTTATCCAAAGACTTACTGGATTGGATTGTCATATGACAGGGGAGGCAAAGAATGGCAATGGATTGATAGTGGCTCATCTAAACTGTGAGTTTTCTGAGCCCTCGCTCTAACACTGTGGCAGGAGTTGGGAGGATGGTGTGCAAAGGCTTTTCTCTCATTTCACAAGGGTTTCCTCATTTTCAGTGGAGCTCACAGGTAAGGACAAGGTGCAGAAGGAAGTGTCTGAGCAAGACTTAGGCAGGGAAAATGAATGGTCTAGAAGTTGACTGCCATTCATGGAATACTGAACATAGCTCAGTATTGTGTATCCTAAGTTGCACAAGGCACAAAAAAATAACCAAAAATGTAAGAGCACATAAAGTCAATGGAGCATCCTGACAGACACAGTGAGTGTGAGTATCTAAGACATTATTGTTGGTTGTTTTACTCTTTTGGACTCTACTCTTTTGGGGGCCTTCCATCCAGCTCCCAAATAAATCACACACATTGAGTTATATGTTGAGTTTTAATTATATTTTTACATACAATATATTTTGATCAGGTTTCCCACCAGTAAATCCTCCCTGAACCTATCCACCTAACTTCTTGTTCTCTAAACTGAATATGTCCCCCAAACAAAAACCAAACAAAAAGTGAAAAATCAAATTAAGCAAAATACCCAATAAAAATACTACAAACAAACAAACAAACAAACAAACAAACAACAAAATTCAACAACCCAAGCCCACTAAGGAAATAGTCTGTTTTCTGTTGCACAACTCTGAGCTTACTATCCAATGAATTTCCATAAGATCTTTTCATTCATTCTTCCCATTGGTTAATCCACACTTTATCCTCTCTGGTTCCCTAACCTGCAGTACTCATCCACATTTGATCTTTTCATTCTCAGAATGCACTCTCTATTTTCATATCCCATATTTATCATTCCTTCTGCTTGTTAATGTTGTTAGAAATACTAAAATTGAAATTTCTCCCTAGGAATACTATGTTTGTCTTTAAATAATTTTGGTATCTAGTTGCATTTTTATTTCATTTTAAAGAGAGTGATTATAATACTGTAAATATTTATATATACGAGCTGACATTTACAGATCTGAAAATTAATCTTAACCTTAAAGTCTTGTTAAATCTATGAAATGAGAGAATTGAATAGAAACATTTTTCTCCATTTTTAAATTTGAATTAGAAACGAGTTTGTTTTACATGTCAATCCCAGTTCCCTCTCCTTCTCCTCCTCCCCTGCCCCCCCCATCTAACACCCTACCTATCCCATACCCTTTCTGCTCCACAGGGATGGTGAGGCCTTCTGTGTGTGTGTGGGGTCTTCAGAGTTTGTCATATCATTTGGAGCAGGGCCTAAACCCTCTTCTATGTGGAGAGGGCTTCAAAAGTCCATTTGTGTACTAGGGGTAAACACTGATGCACTACCAGTGGCCCCATAGATTGTGAGACCTCTAAACTGACCTCCTCGTTCAGGGGGTTTGGAACTGTCCTATACTGGTTCCCCAGCTATCAGTCTGGGGTCCATGAGCTCCCCTTGTTCAGGTCAGCTGTTTCTGTGGGTTTCACCAACATGGTCTTGACCACTTTGCTCATCACGCCTCCCTCCTCCTTCTCTGCAACTGGATTCCTGAGTTCAGCTCAGTGTTCAGTTGTTGGTGTCTGCTTCTGCTTCCATCAGCTACTAAATGAGGGCTCTAGGATGGCATACAAGGCAGTCATCAATCTCATTATCAGAGAAGGGCATTTAAGTAGCCTCTTGACTACTCCTTAGATTGTTAGAGGGTCCAACTTGTAGATCTCTGGACATTTCCTTACTGCCAGAATTCTCTTTAAACCTATAATGGCTCCCTCTATTATGGTATCTCTTATCTTGCTCTCCTCTATTCTTATCCTGACTAGATCTCCCTGCTCCCTCATGCCCTCTTTTCCCCTCCTCTTCTCTTTCTTCTAACTCCCTCTTCCCTCCTCCATGCTCCCAATTAGCTTAGGAGATCTTGCTCCTTTCCCCTTTTCCAGGGGACCATGTATGTCTCTCTCAGGGTCCTCCTTGTTTCCT